TGCTTATTCCAATTCTTCAAGTATCTGGGGTAAGCATTGACTCTTCTTCAAATATAATTCCAGTGCTCATTTTACCCTTAGTATCATCAGAGATTATTTGTCCTTGACAATCAAATTCAACACTTGGACAAGAAGTTTTTTGATGCATTTGGCCAGTGGCTGAGCAGGAAATGGTCTCCCTGCAAAAGTAGGAAATTGGTGGCTTTGGAGGCCCTTCATGCTCTGCATGTTGACATGCAGACTCTACAGCATGAGTGGGCTGCACAAGTACATGCACAAACTCAACTTCCACCTCATTAGTCTGTTCCCTTTGTGTGTGTGTGGTCATATGACTCACCAACCTGCAGGTCAGTCAAAGAACAAGGGTTCTGAACAGTTGGCACATGTTCTTGCTCTGGAGAAAACAGTTGAGGACTATCAGTGCTGTGTGGATTAGTTAGAGAAGGATCTTGTTGATGATCATGTCAATGACATTGTTGACTACAATCTACAACTTGCTGCAGCAAAAGGGTCACTGTCAAAGGCAGCCCAGGCCCTCAAGAAGAAAAAGGCTTCATTGGGACTTTCTGCCCAAACTGACCTTCATCTGCTGAGGAACAACAAGTGGCTCCAAATGCAAACAAATGCACAAGCACTTAAGGTTCAGATAAGGAAATGACTTCATCAGTGCAAGTTTGAGTTCCAGCAACTACAATGGTCATATGGGACCTCTTCCAGTAGTGAGCAAATTTTTATTTCTGGCTGCTATTTTCAATAACATCATGTAGAAAACCATTTACAGTCACATGTGGAGTCATCCATAAAACAACAAGAGCCTACCATCCTGAAACTTGTCACCACATACAATAATCTCTGTGGTGAACTGCAGAGTATGATATGACTGTGTAAGGCACCACCTGGTGCCATCCCTCCCAATCCCATACCTTTTACAGGTATCTTTCAGCTGGATGTTGATAGTGATATTTGGCAGGATGGTCTTGAGGAGCTTAGTGCTAGCACCCCACATTGGCTTGCTGATGAGAGTGTGTGCAAGGGAATCAGGCTGATGTTGGAAGTTGATTGCTGTAATGAAGAAGAAAGAAGGTTGTCAAGAGAGCAGTCTATCATACAGGAATGTTTTTCCATGGAGTGGCTGAGTGCAAAGTCTGCTCTGGAAAATGTGGCAGGTGAGTGCAAATACCATGTTTATGTCCCATCTCATAGGGAGTTAGATGAATATTACAAGTATCACCTGCATGCCTACAGGGATTCCATTGTTGCAGTATATGTCAAATGGGAGGCCAAGGTTCAATATATGCCATATGCATGGGCTGCATCTAGGCCATGGGGACCTACAGCAGAAGACATCAGGGAGTGCCTTGCTGCCACACATAATCCTAGTGGAACACATGCTTCAGAGGATCTAACAGCACCAGTATTAGAAGAGAATGACTCTGATGAAGGGGATGTAATGTCAGAAGGAGATGATGAGCTGTTGATGGCCATTGAAGAGATGGAACTGAAAGAGGAATGTCCCACTGAGCAAGCAAATGAAGGAGAATTTACAGAAGATGAGGATTGGTTGGAGGACATTGGAACTGGTTATTTGCCCTCATCACCATTGCAGGTGCCATCAAAAAGGTGTAGATACTAGATGCATACCTAAGCTTCATCAATAAATAGTGTGTACCCAGAGAAAAGATATGTATGAGTGATCTACATTCAATGTTACCCTAAGGCACTCTGTTTTATGGTGACCCACAATGCCCTTGGCCTCCTGCTGGGTCAAGCATTATGATTGATTAAACTAACAAGAGAATGCACATAGTGCATTGGAAAATCCTCAGCATTGCTGGGAAAATCCCCAGAGTGGGTGGGAGAATCCCCAGCATTGCCTGGAGATTCCCCAGGACAGAACTTGGAGAATCCCCAGTATGCCATGGAGAATCCCCAGAGCAGGTTGAAGAATCCCAAGCATTGCCTGGAGAATCCCCAGCAGTGCTTGGAGAATCCCCAGGTCATAGCTTGGAGAATCCCCAGAGCCAGTTGGAGAATCCACAGCATTACCTGGAGAATCCCCAGCAGTGCTTGGAGAATCCCCAGAGTGGGTTGCAGAATCCCCAGGACATAGCTTGGAGAATCCCCAGCATTGCTAGGTGAGCCCCTAGAGACAGGAGTTGGCTGGGAAATTCCAAGCATTGCCTGGAGGATCTGCTGCATACCCTGTGGATCCCCAGAGTGGGTGGGAAAATTCCAATGGCACCTGGACAATCTTTGACTTGTATGCAATGGCCAAGACTGGAGATCACTGAAGACTTGGGAAGCATGGTGAAAGTATATGTCTGCTGTGCCTGGGCAATCACCATCACCAAGTATATTCTACTCCCTCCATCAGATGTCACCAGTCTTTCCTCAGTGGTCTATGGCCATGCTGTTTCACATATTCATATTGTATATGGTGCTCAGATCAGATTCTGTGGAAATAGGTACTTGGTGTGATACACACTCCTGTCAGCAACATGGAGACTCCAAATCATTTTGATTGATCCTTCACACTGTGATGGTGGTCTATTTGAACTGGAGGTTCCCATGATCATCTTGGAATAGGTCTGTTTGGGCTGGATGCCCTGGGACCAGGTCCATTCAGGCTGGGGAAACTCCCAGGATGCACTGGGAACAGGTCTATTTAGGCTGGAGATTCCCCCAGCATGCCCAGGGAACAGGTCCATTTAGGCTGGGGAATCCCCCAGGATGCACTGGGAACAGGTCCATTTAGGTTGGAGAATCCCCCAGGATACCCAGGAAATAGGTCTATTAACTCACTGGGGAGAGCCCCATTTAGACCCCAGGCACTCTGTTATAGATGTAATAATCCTGGAGAAAGTCCATGTCTCACACCTTGCTCTGGAGAATCTCCAGGGCCTGGCAAATCTCCAGCAGTCACCGGGAATACCCAGGTGGTCAACACCCATTAGGTGGATACATCTATAAGAATATATGAACCTAATAGGTCCCCTGGGGGTGGTGACTGAAATGCAATGGCATATCATGTTTCCACCATGTGCTGGGAGTTGCTGCTGTGTGCCACTGTATGCCTGGACATACTGTGTTGTCATGTTGGGCTGCCCTATGTACACAATGCAGATCTAGTCTGAGCTATGCTATATATGTCCCTATGACATGATGATATTCTATTTAAAGCCTCTCCATGTGACACCTAAAAATATAATTGTAGCCAATTCTGCTGTCATGCATGACAATACAATTGTAGCTGATCCTGAATGACACATGACAACATAATCACAGCTGATCCCTATGTTACAGTGACAACTTGTAGGTTGGCTCAACCTCTGCTGGCCCATATCACATGACCAATTGTCAACCCCTGCCAGCCATGTCACATGGCCTAACTAGGTACATGGGCTCACTACAAATGCCATCTGAAAGAACTCCACACCAACAAACACTCTGTTACATGCTCCTCCCATGTTAGATCATCTTCAGGTTGAATGAGGTGGAACTGGATTTGATGGACAAGCATCTGCCATGAAACACTGTCTAGCAGGTCAAACATTGAGGGAAGAGGGGAAAATGGAAAGAATGCCTGTAAAATGATGCATGAGTATGATAAGGTTCAAGTTGATGGTGATAATCTGTTTTGAAAAAAAAAGAAAAAAAAAAGACACTCACTGGGTTCACATATTGTGGGCATGACAGTGTGGGCTGGGCCCATGGATTGCTGTATTCAGATATCATGGGGGAAATCTGGCCCAGGAATTCATCAGGGACATGAATAGAGATCTGTATGGGCTGAATCTGAGTTTGAGAGCAGTACTTCAAGAGTGAGGAAGAGGCAATGACTTACAAGATGTTCTGGTACAGCCAGAGACTGAGCACTTCCAGTAAAGTGAATGGTGAAACACAGTGGATCCAGCTCAAAACCCTCAGCTGTTGGTACAGTATCAATGTGAATAGTTGTAGTTATTCTTCAGTGGCAGGCAACCTTGAAGCTTGGAGCTTGGAGCTTGAAGGACAACATGATGTTGAAGAATTTGGGAAACATTGCAATTTGATGTTCACATGACACCATGCAACAATGTCAATGCTTGGTTTGGTGCTTATTGATTATCAAGCACACATGGACATCCTGTCTGGTGTGGGGTGCTTGGGGATGGCTGGACAAGATCTTTTCTTGTGTGGTCAACCCCCAACACATGGCTCCCATTGAATCATTCTCAATGCCTAGGTCAAGCTTGAAATCCTTGGATTTAGACCCTCAGAGTGTGTATTTTTGTGTTGTCTGCACACACAGCTGATGAAATATATAGTTTACATCAAAGTTAGTGGTACTGGGATCATTGCATGCAAGGTATGCCCAATGAAAGCAGGTGCTCTGCAGACATTTCAGCATTGCCACCTCTCAGGTCTGACCTGTCACAATAACAGCAAAATACACAAACAGATGGTCACAGCAGTGCAGGCAAGGATTTCCCAAGGTGCCTTTCTTCCAATGGTCTCCATGCAGGTGAGTTTGTCTGCAACCAGTCCCAGGCCTAATCTCCCACAAGATGAACTTCAATTCCAAGAACACCTGACTGTCAAGGATGTAACAATGTTGTCACATTGCAGGAGTAACTCTGTGGCAAGTGTGGCAAGTCACATGGAGGAAGATGAAACTATGGAGCTCCCTATTCACAGTTTTTGGAGTAAATATCAAACAGATCATATGATCTTGAGCATGGACTATTTTGAGGAGATCCAGTGCTTGCTGGAGCATGGAGAATCACTGTTCACCTGTCCCATTCATGCCTCTGTTGATGAACTTGGAGTCAAGACTGATGGTAATGACTATGATGTCTCAGAGTGTGGCATCTTTGCAGATGGCTTAGGAATCAAGATAGCAGGCAAGTGAAGCATACTAGACATTCTACAGTTGTTAACAGTTACTTTCAGAAAATACATCAGAGGTGGAGCCAACTGCAAGATGCATGAAGGAGACTGAGGTCTCTCCCAATTCTCCAATGTATCCATGGTCATTGATGGTGGTGAGCTGAGACCTTACTGTGTCCCACAATTTTGCTGACTTTAGCAGGAATTTGTGACACACCTTTTGTTTAGTTCCCCCCACCTTTGCTTTTCAGAACAACAAAAGAAGTCAGTTCTCAGCTGGGCCACTGCACTTGGTGCACACTCTGTACCATCAATGTACAGTCTTGGGAAAACTCAGGAATGAATCAAAGCACTGCTCAGGGACCTGAAGGAGAAGGTTACAAGTGCTTCTGGTAACATTTTTTATCTGAACTCCATTAGCAAGGCAATTGCAATGGTAGCAGCATCCAACAGTTTGTAGACATGTGGCTGATCTGCTGTTCATGCCAGGATTATGCAAATCCCCTCATGCAATTTTCCATGCAAGATTATCCAGAAGATGGTCAAGGATGGATGTCACAAGTGCATCATGGGGAAAAGATGCTTGAAGGCCTCCCAAATATCCTTTCACCACCATGTGTTACTGTTGGCATAAATATTTTCTTCATTAATGAGCTCCTCCAATGCTCAATGAAGGACTACTTTATTCCAAAGAAGTTCTTCCAGGCAAAGTTCAGTGGAACACCTGAGGCTGAAGTTTTAGCTCCAGGACATGGTGTCTCACAAACAGAGGTAAGCTTATCTTGTATGTTCAAGTCATGTTTTAAATTATACGTTGCAGGAAGGATATGCCATTGATGCAGAACTCATCATTGTACTTGTCTTGACATTCATGTGAACATATGAGGATATCAAAGCCAATGCATCAGAGTTTGACAATGGATTCACCAGTTAGTCTCCATCTTCAACAATTGATCATGGCATCAGCTGACCATTCTGTATAGCATCATCAGCTACTCATGCTGAACTCATGCCCAACCCACTGCACAAGAAGTCAAGGGGATGCATGGTACTCACAGTTCCCCTCATCATTTTCATGGATGACATCTTGGGGAACATCTCAAAACAATGGAATGAGCACCATGTAGTCTACATGTTGAATGCCTGAATGTCATGTGAAATGCTTGAGAAGGAATTCTGCATGTGCTTTGTATTGTCCTCTCCACATGCTCCACCATTAGAATTGATTGGAGGGGTAAGAAAATCCAACAAGTTAGTCCAAATCCATATTATCATGACTGTATTGACAATACTGATAGCACACACATCAGGAAAGCAGCAGATGATGGACTCATTGCTTGGGACTGCAAACTTCATCAGGAAGTCATGCTGATCCCATAAAAGCTCTTTTTGGCTGGCAACAACCCTATGCAGGCTGAGGAATGCTGTCATGGAGGGCTGAAGTGTAACTACTTCTGTCAGACATGTAAAGTGAGTGGAACCACTGCCAAAAAAAGTCAGACAAAGGTTATTGTAAAATTTTCAAGGTTCATTTGCAACCATCAGTTTGTTGGAGTGTGAATGACTTATGTCCCCCTGGGTTAGTCTGGCAAGCTTAGGACACCAAGTGGCATGTTGTGAGTCAAAGTGTAGTTCAGTGGTGAAAACCAACCAAAACCAACACAAAAGACAATGAGAGTGAGTGGTGGTGTGCCTATGTGGTACCTAGATGGTGGAACCTTTTGTTTGGGTGGGTTCTGCAAGATACAACACTCAAAGACAAGTGCTGAGGGATGGGGGTGCTCCTGATGATGAAGGAGCAGGAATGTGAGAGGAAGTGATAGGGTAGACTGCTGTCAGCCTACAGAAGGATGGATGATGACTTAATTTGATGCTCTGAGCTGCACTGAGCTCAGGGAGGACTTGGAGAAAAGTATATTGATGATTGACAATAATAAGTGAAGTAGACAATAATTAGACCTTTAATAAAGTCTCAACTATCAAAGCTGATGAATGAATTACTGAGTGATGATGAAAATGTGAGCAAGAGGGGCTCCCTGATGTCTTTTTTTTTGCTATCTAAGTACAGTGATTTATATACAGTACAGGGGCATTGCTTATGGAAAACAAGGTGCAAATGCTTGGTAAGTGATTGGTAACTGATAAGTAAGGAATGTAAGCAGTGGGTAATCATCTTAGAAAGCATTGGTGAGCATTGGCAAGGATAAGTAAGCCAAAAAGTGAAGAATCAGTAAGCAAGGTCAAAAGATTGGTAAGTATTGGCAATAGGTGAGTCAAAGACAGTCAGAATGTCAAAGTATGAGTCAAGTAATGTCAGGAACTGGGAAAGTACACTGGAATCACATTAGGGGGAGGCTGTGCATGTCACATCTCAAAGAGATTGCTTCTGGTCCAAAGTGGGATGACAGAGAGGCAGCACTGATCTGATGCCAATATAGTACATCCAAAAGCAGACAGGGTGAGTCAGATGCCAACAGGGGTCAAGCTTTGGGGGTCTGTGGGGTGACAGGAGCATAGGGGATCACAACTTCCCCCCCCCCTAACCATCCTCTCAGTGAAGCAAATAAAAACTTCATGAACGAGGCTCTGTTGGAAGAGAGGACGAAGGGGGAGCATCTTCTGCTGTATCTTGCAATAAGGAGGCAAGATGTGCATCATACTCATCATTGATGTGATCAGGGAGAGTGGAGAACAGTAGATTATACTGTAGCTGTTGCAATTTTGGAAGAATGATGGATGAGACTGGTATGAAAACATTGCAGGGAGCAGGGAGGAAGGATCCATATGCTTCTTGGACTGGAGAGACCAAAATGACCACATAAGACCTTTCCAAGCAAATGAAAGACCTGAGGCAACCAAAGAATGTCCTCCGAGAGGTCATACTGACAAAAAGAACATGCTGTCCAAGCTGGATGGGCTGAGAGGGGGCAGATGAGGATGGGATGTACCAGGATGCTTCAGGATGGAAGCTAGTAGGAAATCCTGGTAGATATATGTAGCCATTGTCCCTATAAAAGGGGACAAGTGAAATGATTGATGTGGAGACAGCCATATCAGAAGAATTAGCAAAATGAGCATCTTTTGGAGGGAGTGCTGTTGGTATCTGCAGAATTGGTGGAGATATGTTGAAACTAGAATGCCATACATGGGTGCTTAAGAACTTTTATTGGCACTTAACTTGCTTCCTTCCTTTTTCTTTGGCATTGACAACTCATTCTTGTGCAAGGGATGACTGCTGACATTTCTGGCTGTCCTTCTTTGCATGAGGGCTATGGTCTTCATCTCCATTCATCAGCTGCATCCATGTCCACCTCACCAATCACCTTTGGTGTGTGACAGCAGACCCCCTTAAAAATTTGCAACAAATCTGAAAAATGCAGAACAAAGAGTATTTGGTTAGTACAAGATGTCACCACCATATGAATGTGAGATGGCTCACCTGTGGCAAGCAGAAAATTTGAGATTGGAGCCAAGTTTTCAGTTGCCTTCAAACAAGAATGTCTTGCAACCACCCTCAAAAATGTGTTATCACCCAGAATACAACTGGTCTGCACAATTGGAATTCTGTTAATACTGATGCAGCAGGTTATGTGTCATCACCCAACACATCTGAACCTGACAAAGGAGAGTGCCTCCATCAGAGTAAATGAGCACAGTCCTTGTCTTCAAGTACTTCCAACCCAGACACATCAGATGATGAGGAGAAAGACTGGCAGTGTGGTGCCATATTCAACAGCCTGAAATATGTGGCCAATGAAAGTGACTCAGACAATGAACTTGAAGAAGGTGGCATTGACACTGTTTTTAGGAGTCAATGAAGCTGAGTTTTGTGCATGGTTGGAGGCACTTGCTGTCAATGCTGGTGATGACCCCCTTGACATGACATGGTTGCCTCTGAAACAAGCCAAATGTGCTGCCTGGTGCAAGAAAAAGTCAGTTGGTTGCCCCAAAGAGTACAAAAAGGGACCTGATGTGGGAAGCAAGTCAAAATGTACAAAACAGCAGTACAAAAAGCTTTTGACAGACCAGAAATCACTTTCTGACCTTGGATTTACTTTCTCAAGCCAGCAAAGTCAAGTTCCACTGCGCTCCCAAGCTTCAAACACACTCCCTGTCATCTCAGGTGCACCTGCTGTGGTTAATGATGAAGCAATGGAACCATTGATCTCCCCCTCCTTCATCAGCTGAAGAACTTGGAGAGCCCCCTTCCATTACCATCTCATGTACCAACACTTGGGACTCTTCAGGATGCCACTTGGATGATGTATCAATGCCATTGAATGCAGGTGGACTTGTAGAGGATGCTGAGGATTCCTGGGAGGATGTACTCAAAGAGCAGGAAAGGGGTGGTGTCAAGATTAGGGGATGGGATGAACTGCAGGAGCAAGTCAAGGATGATCTTGCAAGAGGTGCAAAAACAAACCTACCATTGTCTTGTGTCAATCAGCTTATGCTGATTCAAAGCTTTGCTACCCTCCACTTGAAAGGTCTTGGATGCATTGAGGCCAGTCTGGAAATTGCTCATCAGTGGCATGAAGGTGAGGGAAAACATTTGCATGAAAGGTCAGGGCACTTGCTCATCATTACCAAGTGTTCAAACAGCTTCCTGTGGAGAAGCATGGAGGACAAGCAAATGCTCTGAGCCCCCTTAAAGATGAATGACTTCAGCTGCCTGCCTGCCAATGGCTTATGTTGCAAGAAGTCAGCCAAGTCACTCTGCAGCAATTTCAGCATGCACTTAATGAAATGATTATTCCCTCACTTGGTATTGTGTTTGTGAGACCACTCTGTGAACAGATGGCACAGTGCTGGCTGCTAAAATTGGGCTGGCAGCAGACAAAACTTCAAAAGGGTGTCTACATGGATGGCCATGAGCACTGTAGGGAACAAGTTTGAGTTCCCTAGGAGAATTTGTCTTGGTCAGGAGTTTAGGGGTTGAGGGACTTGTGTTTTATTTCTTGCTTTTGTTTTCATGTTTGTACCACTGGAGTTGGTGGCAAGCAGCTGCATTGCTGACTAAGCACATGTGCTGTGTTCATGCAAGTTCAGTTTACCATACAAGCAGTTCATGTCAGAGGCCCTCAGTAGTAGGGTGATATAGTCTTGCATTTCAGCAAGTTTTTGAGGTTAGATTTATTACTTTGGGGAGTACCCAAAGTGCCAGGAGGACTGGCAGAAGGCATTGAACAGACAGAGCTAAGTATTCATTTCTAGTTCGCATTTTTTACACTTTTACTACACTTCTTTTCTCCAGCAAGAACCTCCCTCTTGGGTCAAGCACAAATCTCACCCATCACTGACAGTTACTAATTATAGGTTCACCATATTACCTATTCCTACAGCATGATGATGTCAAGAAGTATAGGCAGGAAGTTTTTTTACCTGCAATGGCTGCATTTGAGTGCTGCATGGTACACTTTGAAGGATCAGAATTGTTTGGCTTGATCCACAGCTTGCACCCAGCAAATGGAAGGTCATTGCAATCTTTCATGATGAATGTTGCTTCCATGGAAATGATTACAGGACACATGCATAGTGAGTGGCAACAGCCATGATAGACCCTGTACTCAAATGCTTCAGTTTATTACCTGGTCAACAAATCTTGCATCAAAAAGGAAGAGGGCACATTATCCATGTTTCTGGATTTATTAATGTGGAGGATGGTCAATTGGTGCACCATGATGAGTCAGGAAATATTGTGGCAGATGCACAAGAAATCATTTACCCAGGGGCAAATGGTGATGCATGGTGGAACACAGAGCAACTACTGAAACAGGTCAAGCATGCAATTCAGATCTTCAAAGCTGCACACCCACACTGCATTGCTTTGTTTATTTTTGACCAGTCATCTGCTCATGCTTTGCTGCCACCAGATGCCTTGAAGGCCTTTGAAATGAACAAGTCTAATGGGGGAAAACAATGGAAGCAACATGATACAGTAATTCCAGATACCAATCCCACTGTTGAACACCATGGAAAGCCTCAAAAAATGTGCTTGCCAAATGGACAGCCTAAAGGTCTCCAGCAAGTTCTTGAAGAACATGGCATTAATGTTTGGAAACTGTGAGTAAAGTGCAGTCCCATTTGTCCATGGGAGAATGAAGACTGTTGCATGGCTCACCTCCTAAGCAAGCAGGATGACCTCACTGATCAGCCATCAATGCTTGAGGCTCTCATCAAGGATGCAGGTCATGAGTGTATCTTTCTTCCAAAATTTCATTGTGAATTAGATCCTATTGAAATGGCAAGTATATTCTATAAGTTTGTGCTTCTATTACTATTACTAAATATGCACTATAGTACTGGGGTTGGTGCAAGTACCATAATCATGAAATAAAGAAGAGTACATTTGAGGAAGCAAAGTGATGTGCAGTGCAACAGCTGGATGCATGTCCAACAGAAGTTATCTGCAGGTTTATCAATTGCTCTTGGTGGTTCATGTCTGCATATAGGATGGGACTTACTGGGAAGGCCGCAGAGTGGGCCGTGAAGAAGCAGAAGGGGCATCATCAAGTGTCACACAGTGCTATGATGTCCATTGAGGCTGTTCTCAATGCAACATCATAGGTAACTTTCATGCTTTGTCCAGTCGAAAATTTGGTGGTCCCAAAAAGGCATGGGAACAACTTAAAAACACCATCTTTTGATGTGTTCTGGCTCATAGATTCCAAATCTGAAGTCAGTTTTTTCTAAAAATGTTGTGGGACAGCTGTAGCAAAATTGTCATGTTTGTTTGTCCACAACTGTACCCTGTGGAGCACCCATACCCCATGGTGACATTAATTCCACAGCTGGCTTGTACCCCATGATGGCAATTCTAACCACAGCCCAGCCATTCTCCATGGTGACTCCTACTTTTGGGCTCAGCTGTATGCCATGGTGACATTCATTCATTGGGCTCTCCCATAGTCCATGATGACACTCACTCCCCATCCTGCTTGTAACTGACAATGACAATTCAAACCACAGCCACATCATTCCCCATTGACAACATTTACTCTCAGGCTCAGCTGTACTTCATGGTGACACTCATCAGTTGGGCTCTCCCACACTACAAGGTGACAATAAGTTCATGGCTCTCATGTAACACATGAGCACAAGCCATACATGGACTTGACCTCTACTGGCCTATCAGTGACAGCTGATTATCAGCCTCCACTGACTGCTTCATATGGCCTAACCAGGTGCATGGGCTTGACATGAAGGTGGTATTCTGAACATGTACTTACAATTACTGTGTTGGAGATTGGATGTTGTGCAGAACAGCAAGAACTTCCTACTTACATAATCACCCCTTGTATGGGCAGAACAATTTTTCCTTCACACCTCAGTCTTTGTCCAACTCAAAGCCTGAGGTAATGTCTTCTTCTCATATCTTAGTATTAGACCATACTAATTCTATTTAGTTACCTTACTCTCCTTTAGCAATAAACTCATTGTTTGTAACCTTTAAAAGGTTATGAGCCCTGCTCATATTGCTCATCCTCCATTTTCACAAATTTGACTACAAGGTTCCTACAATGGAAATTTAGTCTGAAGACATGTCAAACCCTTCCTCAGTCTCTACAGCAGGGAAACTGCCTGCAGTGGCATCTGCCTCATCTGCAACAACATCTGGCAAGGTGACTCAAGGGTTGAGTCACTTGTATGACATTCCACCATTCAACAATAATGGTTTGAACTTCCAAAATTGGAAGGCATGGGTGGAGATGGTACTGGATCTATGTGGGTTGTCAAGTCTGGGCCTACTCCAATCAACTCTGATGCTGGATGAGGTCCGGGGAGAGGTTTGGAAGCAAGTCTGATGGAAAGAGCAGAACTCTGACTGGTGGAGTGTTGGCAGGAACAAAATCTGCTGAGGTAAGGGCAGAGCAAAGTGAGGGCATTGGGTTTAGCTCATGCACTACCCCCTTGCATGATCTCAGCCCTCGTATTTCAGAAGGGGAGTACAGACAGACAGTTGGAGGTAACTCCAACAGGCAGAAGATGGAGACAGAGGGAGTAGGAACTAAGTTGATATTTGTACTGAGGAACAATGGAGTATGATACATGCTTTTATACTACCATGGAGGTACAGTAACCAGAATTGGAACTGACATACAGAGACCTAGCAATTTTCAAGTAAAACTTCCTAGATGACAAATGAAGGGTAGACAGAGGACATGTGAACAGGTAACATAGAACATCCAGAAAAGGAAACAGTCCAAGCACTGGACCATGCAGTGTGCATGCTGTGGAGTACCTGACTGCAAGCTGTCAGGGAGGAGTCCAAAGGTAGTCACATGACTCCTCAGAGAATGGTCCATTTGGTCCAGGAGGAGAGCAGTACAAGTCCAACAGCAGCTGGAGCAGAGACAGCCTGTAACCAACAGAAGTTGGGCAGAGTTGGTGCAGAGTGAGTGAACAGCTGGTGGAAAGGGCTGCAGAGTGAGCAAGGACTTAGGATGAATGCATGACCATGACAGTGCCCCCCCCCTAGGGCCTGAACCCCTGAAGGCCACATGTACGAGATGAGATCAACATGAGTCAATCATTTGAAACCATTTTGACACCTCAAGGATAATGGCTTTAGCCACAGCAGAGCTCTGTTGGAGTCTGAAGAACTGCTTAAAAACATGTGATAGGGTACCAAACCTTCATCCTTTCTCCCATCATCATGTCCTCCCAGTGCCAGAGCAAAACCCCCCAGCCAACCCCCAGTCATGTCCATGACTACTCCCAAGTCACAGACAATGAACTGGTTGTCCTTACTGACGACTCCACCAACACCAAGCAGGAGAAGTCTGTGGAGAAGGTGCACCAATGAGAGGAGACTGAGTGGAGAGAGAGAGAGAGCACAAGGCAGAGCACAAGGGCAAGCACAAGGAGGCCAAAAGGTGGAAGGCAGAGGAGGAGAGGTTGGAGGCAGAGCAGAGGAAGAGGAGGCCTGAAGGAAGAAGGAGGCAGAGAAGGAGGAAGAAAAGCAGAGGCAGAGGGCCTGGGCCAGATGGGACGAGGCTGCACAAAGGTGAGTGGCAGAGCACTACAAGTCAGGCAGAGCTGACTCACAGCTCTACCTTCACTAGACTATGCAGCATGGTGTACAATGTCAACACCACCCAGAGGGTCCCTGGGGCCTCTGTGGTGGTCACTGTGACCAGGTGGCCCCCCTGTACTCGCTGTGTAGTGAGTCTGACAGCAGGGCAGTGCAAGCCAGGACAAGGCAAGACCAGGGCCTGTGTGCCCTGCCAAAACAAGAAAAAGGTGTGTAGTTGGACAAAAGAGGATGCAGTGGCAGGGCCCTCATGGAAGAGGGCAGGGACAGGAAGTTCTCAAGGGGAGAAGAAGAAGAGGTCATGAGGGAAGGGGAAGGAGAGAGCAACAGAGATGGAGGAAGCAGACAACAAGTGGGAGGTAGGTGGTGTGGATGAGGAGGAGCCAGAGACACCACACAAGGGACCCTCAGGAGCAGGGGCCCCTTCCTGGTGGGCAGAGTGGGAGTGGGAGCAGCTGCTGCAGGCTGCAGAGAGGTACACAGAGGTGCACAAGAAGGCTGCAACAGCCTTCGAGAGGATGGCAAGAGCAGTGGAGCAGATGGTGGAGGCCATGGAGTGGACAGCCAACAAGTGGGGGCTGTACTGCAAGTGGGTGGAATGAGTGGAGATGAGGAGGAGGGAGGATGTGTGTGAGGCCAAGATGGCTGAGTTCGAGCATGCAGGAGGAGGATGGAAGAGGCCTCAGTTGGAGGCACCAGAGGACAGGGATGAAGGTGTGAAGGGGGACAATGAGGAAGAGGAAGAAGTCAGAAGAGAGCCAGAAGGCAGAGAAGGACAGGAGGGTGGTGGAGAGCAAGTGATGGAAGAGTAAAGTAGATTTCTTTTTTTTTTTTTTTGTCTTTTTTTTTGTTTGTATATTTTGTACTACTACGAAATAGACCTGTGACTTAAGGTAGTTTGATAAGGGGTGGAGCCAGCCCACAGAGGAGGGTTATGTGGGTGGAGTACTATGGCAGAGGTTGATATGGGCCATGTTTGTGTGGATAGCATTTGTGGAAAGCAGAGACTATGTCAGAAGCATGGTCCAGCTCAGTTGCAAGCAACCAAGAGGTTTCCTCATCAGTGTTCTTGTAACCAGCCCAGCATACTAGATACAAGAGTTGACAGTGGCAGCAATGGCAGTCCACTTTAGAGTCAAGTATCTCCAACACTTCATACTCAAGGTCACCATTGACATCTACTGGTGGAGGTGGAGGTTGTTGTCAGTTTGGGAAAGGGTTAGCTGCTGCAGCTTCCAGTTGTGAGACATGGAAGACTGGATGTGCCAAGTGCATAGAATCAGGGAGCTTAAGGGTGACAGAGTGCATACCTGGCCTGGCCAAGATGGTGAACGGACCTAAGTACTTTTTAGAGAGTTTTTCCAAAGGATGAGTGGAGTGGAAGTACTTGGCTTTGACATAGGCCTGTTCTCCAACCTTAAACCCAGGTGGAGGTATGCATCTGGCATCTGCTGGACCCTGGTAGCACTGCTGAGCAGCAGACATTTCAGAGCAGAGGAAGTCATGAAGGGTGGAGAGCTCAATGACATAGTCATGAGCCCTTGGAGAGGTGAAATCTTGGTCAGGGACCACAGACAGGTTTGGGTGGTATCCCTTGTTAGCAAAGAAGGGAGAAACTCCAGTAGTCACACTTGGTGCATTGTTGAAAGCAAACTCTGCTAGAGGTAACAGCTCAGCCCAGTTGTCTTGTTGGTAGTTGCAGTAGACACGAAGGTACTGCTCAAGTGTCTGGTTTGTTCACTTGGTCTGGCCATCGCCCTCTGGGTGGTAACCCAAAGTGAAGTGAAGACACATATCAAGGGCCTTTCCTAGAGAGCAGAAGAAGTGTGAGACAAACTCAGGACCTCTGTCAGAGGTGACATTAGCTGGCACTCCATGCTTGGAGAAGACATGGGTAAGGAAGAGCTTAGTGAGTTTGGCAGAGGTGATGGAGTCATGGGTGGGGACAAACACCACTTGCTTTGAGAGGCAGTCCACTACCATGAGTATGGCAGAGTAGCCATTGGAGTTGGGGAGGTGTTCAATGAAGTCCATGGAGATGGAGTTCCAGGGTCTCTCTGGGATGGGGAGTTGCTTCAGTAGACCATAAGGGCAGTGATGTGGAGTTTTGCCCTGTCCACAGGGGGTGCAGGACCTGACATATTCTTTCACATCAGAGCAGAGGTTAGGCCACATGTAGTCCATGCAGATGAGTTCTAGGGTGCAGTTTTGCCCAAAATGGCCTGCTAGAGGATGATCATGCTTGAACCAAAGCACTCAAAGGTGGAGGTCATCAATGTCAGGGACAAAGATGCGACCATCAAGGCAGAGCAGACCACTGGAGTCCAGGGACCACCAAGGCTTGGTTGGGGTTGGAAGATGGCTGGTGGAGACAGGGTTGGATGGTAGGGCAGAGATGATGTTGGAGTGCAAGCACTCAACATCAAAGACCATGGCAGTGCAGAGCATGGGTGCCATGAGGGTAGTGGTATGGAGGGACAATGTGAGTTGCTCCTATGTAAACATAGGGTGGAGATTGTGAGGATTTACCTGC